AATGTCTCCTATAAAACCTCACTGTTCTTACAGGCTCTGAAGCACAGTTTTTAAGTTCTGTCTTGCTGTAACATTTTGTGTTATCTTCTGTCTTGATTCTCTTGATGCTTCTCTTTCGTCTACAAATTTGACCATAATCTTTTAATTAGAAACCACAAGGCTATAAATAGAAGTAAATATAAAATTATTTACATCAAAGGCAAAGCATATAAGTAGGATTTTCTCATCATTTTAAAGGAAAACCCCAACATTATTTTTGATGGAAATCGTTATCTCTTCTAGCAAAATTTACTAAAAACCATCAAAGTGCTTTAAGAAGGATTCTTCAGGAGTGAGAAAAATGTGTTATGAGGAATTGTACATTATGTTACAATGTATTTTAAATTACCTTTTTCCTTATTTTAATAATAATAATTTTAATTTTAATAATAATTTTAATTTTAATAATAATTTTACTTTTAATAATAAGGAAAAATATTAGTTGTCATATTACTACGCTGCTTTCTACACCCAACTAATTATATGCAATGTGAGGAAAATTTCTAAAATATTTTCTTTCAAAGTTTGAAAGAAAGTGCTTTGCTTGCAAATGTTTCACTGGTGATTAAAATATGTGACATTATTTGAAATGACAATCTTCCAAACATATTTCAGGTTATCTATAGTACAGTGCAACCAGGCTCCCCATTGATCTGCAATGGTACATGTTGGTTGTAGTCATGTACGTGTATTCTTTTTGTAGAAGCTCGTTCTTCAGGGCCACTTTCTGGAGAAAGTTGATTCCCAGGAAGGGTACTGAGGGGACTGTATCAAAAATCATCACTATTCTATTCTGTTTCTTTGTAATAATGAGTAGTCACTTCTTACTGATTGCCCGTCTCTGTTACTGCGATGATCCCTGAGGCATGGAGCAGGTGATTTAAATAACTGGAATCTCATCCCTTTTGGTTTGGCAGGAAGGTTTGTACCTTCAAAGGTACCACTTTGTTTTTCTAGGATTCAAGCTTTCAATATTTGTTTTAGATAAAATGTCTTTGTGCTTAGTGATTTGAAATAATCCTTTTCTCTCCATTTACTTTTGATTCCTTGCAGACATCCACTAAACTTTGCAATCTTTGACAAAAGTCGGCCCTTGCATAGTTGCATTAGACGCATGGGATGCTCACTGTTTTCTGTAAGGGGGATTGCAGGGTAGTACACTTTATGTGCTACTGGAATTTGCATCTGAAAATCCTGCAACTGATTTCAGAGTTGTTTTTCTTCTTCAGTTGCATGACATTAAAATTTCAGAACTTTTTGATTGTGTTGGAGGCACAGCCCTGTGCTCTTCCATTAAGTTGTTAGAGTCTCCTTTCCTGGCTCTTGTTCATGTTCTGATTCGAATGCATCTCTCTTGGTCTCTTGGTCTCCAAGAACTACCCTTTTTTGACTGAGTTGTCAGCCATCAACGTGTCCTGCCTGTGATTGTTGAAAAAGCCTCAAATTTTCTGAGAAGGTTCCTTGGTCTGAGAGCTGAGTGACATAACTGTCTTGATTCAGTGGTTTAGAGGAGCCTTTGCAGGTGTCCGTCTAGTTGCTTGTGCTTGAATGAGGTGGTATAGGTGGAATAAAAGTATGTATTTCCTTTCTTTGGGTTCTTTTATTGACATATATCTACAAGTGTAAGCTTCCTTTGCAGCTGGCTGTTTTACCTATTCACTGATCAGGCAGGTAGATGGACTTAAAAATAATGTAAAGCCAAGACCTTTTAATATCTGTTTCTTTATTTTGTGGTTCTTAACAAGATATTCAGAAGAACTGTTATCCTAAACTGTGTACTGGCTGGCACTCTTAAGGTGCAGGTTTTTGTTACGCTGAATGAGATCTTTTAGCTGTCATTGACGGGGGAATCTGTCTTCCTCATCTTCATTCTCTCTTGTGTGTCCCTTCCAGATTCTTTCCATTTTATCTACTCATGGTGTGACTATATAGTTTATTTGGATCAGCTTACTTGTCCAGCAGAAGATGAATGCACTCCCAATTATTGATTGATACTCTGATGCTGATCTGACTTTCTGGGTAGTCAGATGAGCCAGTAGGGAGAGCAGGTGGGAACACATGGCTGGGATGGGACAGAGCTCTTCATTTTCGGCAGCAGCTCTCAGTATGCAGTGTTGCAGTGTTTTGCAACCAAACATCAGGATTGAAGGGAAGGGCTGTAATTTCTGGAAATAACTGAGTTTGTCTCTCTATCCAAAATGTGTGTCATGGCATCTCAGTTGGTTTGACGTACACTTGAAATGCTCTTGATTGCACTTGAGTTTAAATTTAATGGTAAATTTCTTGGGTTTGCCCTGCTTGTCTTGGGGGTGGTTATGTCTGTGTAAAGTTTTCATCTTAATGTATTAATAGTAATTTTTAAATCCACATTAACAGCTTCTGTCAGCGAATAACTGTGGTCCAGCATCACCTCAGAAATACATTAGCCTCATAAATGTTTATCTTAGGGACGTTCAAGGGAGGAGATTTCCCAGACCAAATCAATAAAATGCAATATACCTAGCAGTTAAAAACCAAACCAAAAAACCCTCATAATTTTTGCTCTTACAGTGAATGAGGTGAATACATTTTAATGACAAATCCTATATTTAGTATATGTCCTTTTAGAAATTTAAGTTAGGCCTTTTGTATTCTTCCTCACTGACAAATTCTTTTTTGATTCCAGCATGTGGTCATATAGAAGACTTGGTTATACTGTGTACAGAGATCTAAATGATGGCATATGTAGCTGTGTTAACAAGCAGAAATAATAAAGTGTTGTAGAATGTTCTTTGCATTTAATAATATAATGTTGAAAAGTGAACAAATGGGTTGCCATTACTCCTTTGATCAGAAAATGGTTGTTGCAGTGCAGGAAGGTAACTGAAGCTTAGTTAAGGTTAGTAAATGTGCTGCAGTGGAACAAGGGAATGGCAAAACTAGCACTGGCCCTTTGTACCTTACTGCATCTTGGCCTGTCACATCCTGTTTATGAGCAGCAGCCTAAAAATTCACGTTTCTAGCAAGAGACAATGGAATTTTAACACCATGCAAAGCAAACTCTGCTGCCTGAGAGTTGGAAGAGAAATGCCAATGCTAACGTGATAATTTGTTGACGGTTGCTTTTGCTGTATTTTTGGTTGTGCTAGCTGCTGCAGGCCAGAAACATCTAAATGATGGTACTGCGTGTGGGTGGCCATATGTGCTGTGGCTGTCTGTCATTGCAGATACCAGCTTGGCTGTGTCATGGGTCATTTTGGACTAGTGGGACTAGCTGCCTTTTTTTGTAATAAGATTTCTTTTTTTTACTAGAAACTGGGCTTTTGATTATGTATTTGTTTAAAGAGAGGCTCTTAAATAATTCAGAAATTACAGGAACCACTTAGTGAAGACCTGTGGCCTGGGTTACAAAGCAGGTTAGATGTAATGGGGGTAGCTAAAAGGATATCTGACTCTGAATTGTATCTACTGAGAGGCCTTCTAAGAAGCTTTCCAGTTAATACTGTGTCCTTCTAAACTGTAATAATCTAAATATGTGGAATTTCTCATTATGCCATTTTGGATGCGCATTCACTGAATGGCATTTTTATAAAGGGCACTCAGCTGTCTATTTTTTTTTTTTCCCTAAAGGAATCAACTATTTGTAAACATGTATTCATGGCTGTGGTCTTTTTGATTTATTAGTACTTGCACTTATATATGTAGACATAAAAGAAAATTCTGCTGTAGTGCAGCTAAAAATGTAATAAAAAAGTCATGTTTCTCTCAACTTTCCATTTCTTTGTTGCTGTTCTTTTCCAGGGAAACTGATATTCTCAGCTCTTCTGGATTTAATGCCTATTGAAAGCCTGCCAGTAGTTTTAGAGAGAGTGAATTTGATGATTCACATTATCCTATCCTGTCCTGTGTTTCCCAGAGTTTTCAATAAATCGTTTGTTAGAGTTGTGCTATTCTGTTTGGTATTTATTTAGAGAAGTGTAGTTCAGAGTTTTAAGTGGTTCTTCAATGTTTCCTCTTAGATTCCTCTGTCTACATGCTTCAAATCTTAATGTGCAGATTTCAATGAAAGGAAAATGAGAACAAAGTTGAAACTGCTCCAAAATGTCTGAAAGTAGCTTTTCTTATTAATTAGGTAAATAACATGGCTGTTCGTTTCTTGTGAATTTCAGTTCCAGAGCAACTATTGCATTTCCATTGGGTAACTCGGTATTTTCTTCCAATACTACTACAATAAATACTCTATTTTTGGAGGATTGTGACTTACAAAGTATTCCTGTGTTTGTCCTCTATAGGACTGAATGAATACAATTAATTCAGGGAAAATATATAGCAAAGGAAGGAACAAAGAAAGGAAGAAAGAGATGTTTCTCTAGCACCCAGTTTTCTTTGGATTTAGCGACTGCTCAGGGGGCTGGAGTTTTGGAAGCCTTTTGGAGGAAATGGGTTACAGGGTGGTGAGTCAGAGCTTTACATAAAATGCAAGTAGTCAGATTTTAGCCCATTGCTATTGCCTTGCTTTATGGGCTTAAATGAGAATCTGTCTGAATGCACAGCTTCTTTCAGGTAATGTCAGTGAGATTTGTGAGTGTATCCTAGTCTGACCAAACCAATAATGTCTCAGCTATTCTCCACTGGTCTGTATCCAAAGTCAGGATGGGGAACAAGTAACACGTTAGCCAGTGGGAGACTTCCGCTGTCCTTTCCTCAGGGTTTTGCCCAAGGTGGAAGTAGAGAAAGCCATTTACCTGTGGTGTGGATGGGTTAAGAGGGGGTTGTGGTGTTTGGAATTCTTGAATTAACCTTGTAAATTCAGAAAACAGATCTTTTATTTATCATCATACATGGCTTTGTCCATTTCGGTGCAATTTTATTTGGTTAACGGCATAGTTACTCAGTAAATATATTTAATATGTGCATTCACAAACCTGTACAGTATGTTTTGCTGTGGCTAAATACTAATTCTAGTCTTCTCAATATTGCAGTCTACCCACATTGCTCGAGCCAGCTTCCAAGTTGATGCTTTTGGATCATCTTTCATCCTAGATGTGACGCTAAACCAGTAAGTAATGATTGCCTCGTACTCCGTGTTTTTTCAAGACCTGGTACCAGTGAAATGTCATTTTTCAGAGGAGGCTTTAGAGGCTGTATTATAGCACAAATGCCATTTCTAGGTATTGAGTTCATATGTAGTAGCGTATTTTAAGTTCTTTTGTTATTTTCTCATGCACCATTATAGGTGTTTATATTTCCATTGTTACTACTTAGTAGCTACTGTAGTGTAGGTAACATTTCAGCATTATAACTTCATTTGCCATCTTTCAGTTAACCGTAAAGGCAAATCACTATACTCACACAGAGCCTCCATGTATATTAAAAGATAGATTTGCTGAAAACTGGTAGCTGTTAGCATTTTATTAACCAAGTGTAAAGTACTGGGATACAGCAATGGCAAGACAGCTAATCCTCAAAAAAGGATGAGATTAATAGTTGGGAATGATGTTTCTCTGGACGCATTTACAGTCTTTTGGGAGCAGCGAAGCACTATAAGGGGGAAGCACACTGTGAACTTCGGTCTACGAGGGAAGTCTGAACAATAGTAAACTTAAAGTGAAATCTGGTATGTGGCTTTCAGTTTTTGAAGATGCACCTTAGCACAGCTATTTAAAATAGCAGTTACTTTTCTTTTCTGCTCTGAAGTGAAAAAAGAATAAATAATAAATAATAAAGTAAATAGAAATGCTTTAAATAATTCAACTCCCAACAATTGAACACAATGTTGCGTGCTTCAGTGTAAGAGCTGTATTCAATTGCCACAAGAATTTCTGCTATAAAGATGAACCATTCAGATTGCAATGAAAGGCCCTCGAATTTCTTTTTTTTTTTTTTTTTTTTTTCACTTGTATGCACATTCTAAGCAGTGGTGATTTCTTAACATGAGTTAAAAACCACAAATGAATCCTTACTAGTTACAGATGGCAGAGATAGCGTGCTGCTGGAAGGAGAGGGAAAGAGTTTGGTTTAGAAGTATGATTTTATAACAAATGCATTTTAAAAGAATCCTAGAGAAAGAATTTCCTGCTAAAAAGCACCAAATCCACAACATTGAAATGTGTCTTGGAAAAAACAATTTTTATACCCACTTAGACCTTACTGAGAATACGTTGCAAAACCTGTTTTTACAGCCAGGCTTGATGGGGCTTTGAGCAACCCCATCTACTGGGAGGTACCCCTGACCGTGGCAGGCGGTTGGAGCTGGATGTTCATTCCAACCCAAACCATTCTATGATTCTATGATACTTCGGGTGACAGATTAATGTTGCAGTCACAACTAGTTTCTGAAAGATCAGGATTGTCCTTACAGTATGAATTTCAGGTCATCATGATATAAGTAAATACATTTAGCAATGGCATATGAAAAGACAAGTTAAGGATGAATTTTTATGAGCTGCAGCAGTTCTCTGTATCTCTGGATTTTTTTGTTTATGTGCATATACATATGCACATAAATGCACACGTATGTTTAAAATCTGTTTTGAGATTTATTCTATTTTAATGTCATTTTTTTATTGTCTTTAATGAGACTAAATCAGTGTTTGTATGAGTAAGACTGTAAAAATATATCCTTAGTGTTCTTAAAAGTGCCAGAATCCAACTTAAATATGCACTTTTCTTGAGGAGCTATGCTTTTTATAATGTGAAAAAGTCCTATCACAAATTTTGCATAATGAAAACAAGAAGTCTTCAAGGAAACTAAGATGTTTGACTTCTATCATGATATTTAAATCAGCATTTAAAATACCTCTGTAATAGCATTTGCAGATCATACATAAAAAAGGGCCAAGTATACCAGAGCAACATTTAAAATGTAATTATTCTTGTGAACAAATCTATTTCATTCAGAAGTATATATATTTCTCTTTTCTTGCAATTCTTATTCTCTGTATTACATTCTGTGTGCATGTTCTAAGGATCCTGAGAGAAAAGCACTATTTTTTTTTGAGAAGTGGTTGGCAAATTTAGCCCAGAGTAGCTTTATATTGAAAAGAAGTTGAATTCTTGTAAGGATCAAAGTCCAAGATTCTAGTTTTCCTCTGTAAAAAATATCATCTGAACTTCTGCTAATATTAAAAACATGCTGAAGCAGGTCCCTGTGGTAAAATTAGCTCTTATGCATAATACACATTTAAGGAATATTAAAGGAGGTATGGGGGTCAGGGGTGAATAACCTAAAATACATAGGTTATCAGAAAGGAGAGACTGTCCCTGCCTTTGTCAATCTCTGTTCTTGCAGTCTCCATGTCATTTAAAGATTGGTGTAATATGGCTTGTGCATCTGATCATCTCTAGTTACAATGTCAGTGGTGGTCAGTCACACTGGAAATATTCATTCTTCTGTATGGTTCCCCAATTTATGGAGGACAAAATTTCAAAATTAAAATGATAGTAGCAAACGGAGAGCTTTAAAAAATCAGAAACTAAAATGTGCCCTTAATGTCTGTCTGCAAATAGTTTTTCTTCCATCCAGCTTTCTTGTTTTTCTTGCATACTTTTTCTTGACAGCTTTTTTTGTACTCTGGCAGTTGAGGCTGGCAGAAATGTTTGTGGTCTCCTCCTTGTCTCTCTTCCCTCATTGCTGGATACCCTCTGTTTTACCTCTTCACCAAAGGAAATTCTGTTATTGAATCTGAGTGTTAGTTGAAGCAACTTCCCATTCCTAGACCCTTCCTCTCTCATCTCTCAGAATGGTGGCCTGCAGCCAAAACTGATCTCTGCAATGAAACAAGCTGGGAAGATACAGGAGGTGGGCATGGAAATGTAAAAGTAGAGCTTACATTGACATTTCAGACATCAGGAAAACTGAGGCCCAGAAAGGGAGCATTGTGCCAGTCTTCGATGCAGATGAGAGGAAGGAAAACAAATTTTTCCAACTGGTGTTATGGTGTGGCAGTTTAATTTAACATTGAAATCTGTGTGGTTTCTTCTTGCTCATACTGGATCTCAGCCAGGTTTGAATGTGCATTTGTTCACATTCAGTACAGATGTGACATACACTGAAACATTACCTTGAATGAGAATAAGAAAAAATAATAAGCTGTTATAACTACAGTGTAGTTTCCTTTTTTCAGTGATGGTGGTATTTTCTCTACATACTTCACTGTCTTTCTCTCTTCCATTTCCCCCCGAGTTGCCATAGTGTCTCTACAGTGAGCTTTTTTAAAGATAGAATGTTTCTTTTTTAACTTTTTTTTTGCCTGTTCAGCTGGCTGATGTATTTACAGAGGAGCTTTCAGATCGAATCAAGTTATGTTTTTAAAAGGTTCAACCCCTTAGGCAAAGGTTAGCGGTTGCCTTAGTTGCATTGGTGTGTTTATGAATCCATTGCTTCAGTATCCTTATGTGTTCAGAACCGCGTCTAATGGAGCTGTTTTCTGTGGCCATCTTTGTTAATGCCTCCTTTGGCATTGCCAAACCTGGGGCCTGTCTGGCCTGTGGTGCCTACCCTAGGTTCACTTAGTGGTAGCCACATCAGGCAAGAAGGATGATCGAGGCCCTTCCTGGCTGCAGCATCATCCTGTCTATGAGGGCTCTGGTGCCTCCTGTCATAGAGACGAGTAGAAAGGGTTTCCTGAACCTGAGTCTGAGTTGTGCCTACTTCTGAGGTGTAGTGTGGGGACCAGGTATTCTGCTGAGGGGACTCCTGACCTTCAGAAAGATCCCTCGAGCATCTGGGCACCTGTGTGTGCTCTAGCTCGTCATGTTATATCAAGAAAAGCCCTCCATGATCGTGGCCTTTTTACGGGAGAGTGAACACATCGATAGCCTGAGTGAGATCCTCAGGTTTGTGGTGACAGGGAAATGCATAAATAAGGATTTCACTCTTATATTCAGCACTTCAGGACTTCTCTGTCCTTCCTGGTGACACTTAGTCACTAGGATGGAGCATAATCACCACTTGCTTTCTCTCCTTGTAAGACAAATTTAATTCCTCTCATGTTAGTGAAAAATAATCCATAAAGAAGTATTAGGCTGGGCAAGATGTGCTCAGAAACCCTACCACTTTATGAAGCCTACACATCTTCTGTTCCTGTTGGGTACCTGACTGTGTCCCAGAGGAGTGCCAGTGCTGTGTATACATTGGTGGTCATGATGATCAAATGTGTTCAGAAAGCTGAAAGATTTCAAATGAGGCAATTTTCATAAATTGCAATCAGTCTATTCACGATGTGGAGTATAAATGCCCTTGTCTCTTAGTTTATCAGAAGGTAGGCAAAACCAAAGAAGCTTCTTCAGAAAATATTGATATTTTGTTTATTTCAGTTTGAATTTAAATTATTTCTGGTTAGTGATATGGGAAAGTTCCTGGCACACCAGGAATTAATTATTTTGCCTTGCCACTGAATGCTTTTTGCAGCTTCTGCTGAGGAGGATACAGACATTCCTCATGCCTTGTGGGAATGTTTATTAGTAATGTCTTTTAACTAGAGTTTTGCAAACCTTACAGAATCAGACCGTAAACTTCATCAAAAAATCCTGGAAACAGAAGCAAAATAAAAGGCAGCTTGACAGACAAGTGCCAGCTTTTTCGTGAGACAAACTGCTGAAACTTTGCCTGTAATTTCTTTTGGCAAATGGTCTCCAACACTAATATCAATGTGTCATGTAAGCTGTAAATGGAAAACATATTTCTAAATTTGCTCTAAATTGGCTGTGTGGATTTCAAAAGGATTAGCTCCCTGGCATGGTTTAAAAGGTGCAGTTATGCCATTTGTGACTATTATAATTCCTTGTGAGTCTTTATTCCGTGTTGCCCCTGTGAGCTTTGCACTCCTCCTGGTCACCCACAGGATGAGTGTGTGGTTGAGGGGCTCCACATGATGTGACGTGACCTGCTGCAGTGTGGTGCTGGGTGTGAGAGGACCTGTCCATGCTTTATGATCTTTGTTACCCTCCTAATGCCTCCCAATAACTGTCTGGATAACTGCATGTGGTAAGTGATGGTCAGATCAAACCTGAGGAGAAGCAGCTCTTCCTTTCAGCTGTTTTGGGTCTCCCTAAAAT